GTAATTGAATGAATGAAAGTAATTGAATGAATGAAATGATTGAATGAGTAAAAGTAATTGAATGAATGAAAGCAATTGAATGAATGAAAGCAATTGAATGAATGAAATGATTGAAAGAGTAAAAGTAATTGAATGAATGAAATGATTGAATGAGTAAAAGTAATTGAATGAATGAAATGATTGAATGAATGAAAGCAATTGAATGAATGAAATGATTGAATGAATGAAATGATTGAATGAATGAAATGATTGAATGAATGAAATGATTGAAAGAGTAAAAGTAATTGAATGAATGAAAGCAATTGAATGAATGAAATGATTGAATGAGTAAAAGTAATTGAATGAATGAAAGCAATTGAATGAATGAAATGATTGAATGAATGAAATGATTGAAAGAGTAAAAGTAATTGAATGAATGAAATGATTGAAAGAGTAAAAGTAATTGAATGAATGAAAGCAATTGAATGAATGAAATGATTGAATGAGTAAAAGTAATTGAATGAGTAAAAGTAATTGAATGAATGAAATGATTGAATGAATGAAATGATTGAATGAGTAAAAGTAATTGAATGAATGAAATGATTGAATGAGTAAAAGTGATTGAATTAAAGCGAATGAAAGAATGAAAGTGATTACCTAGGGATAATTGAATATAATTGATTCAAATAAATTTTTTAATCAATCACATTCTTCTAATCAAATTAAATCTTCTAAATAATCACATTCAAACAATTGCATTTTTTATAAATATCGAATTATTATAAACAATCAAGTTCATTCAATCATATTAATTGGATAATTTTCATTAGATTATAATATTTAATCATTTTCATTAAATTACAATAATTTATTTCTAAATATTTTTAAAATGTTAAATTTTTCATTAGAAAAAAGCTCAAAAAATTTATAATTTGATGAAAAGAAAAATAAATGAAAAAGAAGAACGTTTATTATTCGTTTACAATTTTGCAAAATTATTAAGTTTTTAGACATAAAAAAGAAAATAAAGAAACAATACTACTATATTTTAAAGTTATACTATATATAGTGTAGATATAACATATTTTTGTCTCTGTTTTTTGAATAATTTTTTGAATATTCATGAGAATTTTCAAAAATAGAAAGCGAATTACATAGTATTTGTAGTCATGAATATATGTAAAAAATGATAAAGAATATTAATTGAAGCAGTAAAACTTGGTACATAAGTAGACCTGTAAAAAAATTGATTATTCGTAATTAGACATCGATTTGAAAAACTGGTTTTTAGCTCATGTTGCTGAGAAAAATTATGTTAAACTTGTTTTTCTACAATAAACCAGCGTTAAATACTTTTTTTCGAATGATTCTTGGTGAAATAAATTTTAATATGTCGAGCGAGTAGTTTACTTTTGCATAAAAATACTATCATTTGAACGTTCTCCTGTAGCTGATTCGAGATATATTTTTTTTAAATTTTTCCTGTGTACTTGTTGCAAAAGATAAAAAAATTGATAAAAAAAAATGATACTCATGAAATGTTTTTCTATTAAAATATGATACTAGAATTTTTTTTTCTATTAAAAAATGATACTTATTTTTTTTTTAATTGAAAATTTTGATACTGGCCAGAGAAAAAGTGGAAATTTTGATATAGTCCCTTGGAAAATGTCCATTTATCCCCCAAATTTTTTACATCACATGTCTTTTGTGGCTATTTGTTTTTTTTGTAAAAATTTAATTATTTTTTTGTTAAAGTGTACATTTAGCCCCCATTTTAGTTTTCACTCAGTATTTGTGCTATGTTTTCATAATAATTAGCCTTTTAAAATCATTTTTATAAATATTCTAGTATGTTTAGAGTTTCTTTACCATTTCTCCCCATAAATTTCAATTGAATTATTGGGGCTAAATGTCACCACCCCTTTTGCATTATACTAACTTAAGCTTATCTTAATTGAAAATGATTAATAATATCAAACAGTTTATCGATAAACAGCAAATATTAATTTTTTATATACATTTTTTATTTATAAATATAATTATTCACCTATAAGAAGTAAATTATAGTCTTTCTTCTTCAAGAATCTAGTCATATTCATCTTCAATAAATAATTCAAATTTATCATTATAAAAAATAAAATTATTATATTTTATGTACTTTTTTAAATCAACAGTTAATTATAATAGTTTTGGAATGCTATATTAATCTGCAAATAGAAATTGAAATAAAAATGATAAATTTTATAATAGAAAAATCTTCGATTATTCGATAAAAAACCGAAGTATCGGTACAAAAGTGGACAACGTCAGGTTTTTTGTGGGTATTTTTTTTAAAAAAACTGTATCTGATTCATTAAAATTTCATTGACAAATGGCCAAATAGATTAAAGAGATTTATAATTTATTAATGAATATTGTTTCTCTTTAATTAGATATTTTACAACAAATAGTCATCGTAATAATTGAATAAACCGTTATTGGCGGTTAGGGCAGGTAATATCAATATTTTACTGGAAAAATAACCGCTACAGGAGAGGATCGATATACAACCCTGTTATTAAATAACTTTTTTATTTAAAATATCCTTTTTTAATGATATTTGATACATTTTTTTAAAATATTATCATCAAAAAGCAAGATCAATTTTAGAAAAATGAAAAGAAAAAAAAAAAAAAAAAAAAAAAAAAAAAACTTTAAATTATGAATATACTTTGATTTATAAGTAAAATATAAATCGGCCTTTTTTGGCACTTTTATAAGTTAATATATGGTCAAATATACGTTAAAAAGGTATATTTGAAATGCGCAGACTGTAGTATCGTTTATACTTAAAGTTAACTTTATTAAGATATTTATGATTATTTTATTTATTTGAGCGAATTAATTCTTTTAATGATGATGGAATCATAATTATAACTTTTGAACATTTATCAAATGCATTTATTGGAAAATATTCCAATTCAGATTCTTCTAAAAACTCAATTATTTGTAAATTTTTGCAATTATTAAATGAATTTCCACATATTTTTGAAATTTTTGAAGGAATGATAATTTCTTTAATATTTGATCCTGAAAATGCAAATTCTTTAATCGTTTGTAAATTAGAATTTGGATGAATTTCAATTTTAGTTAAATTTTTGCAATTATAAAAGGCGTGATCAAATATTGTTGAAACTTTTGATGGAATAAAAATATCATTGATTTTCGTATATGAAAATGCATATGATTCAATTGTTTGTAAATTAGAATTTGATGAAATTTCAAATTTACTTAATTCTTCACAATATTCAAATGCATATGATGAAATGATTTTGATATTTGAAGGAATATGAATTTCAACAATGTCACGACTTGCAAATAAAAAAATGTCGAATTCTTCTTTGTTTTCATCACTTTTACCAATTAAATATTTGTCATCGTTGAATATGAAATGATTATTAAATGATGAAATTTTAATTCTTTTCAGATTTAATGTTTCATTACACCACCATTATTCTTTTTTCAACGGCCAAATTTTATAAAAAATTATGAAAAATATTAAGAATATTGATGTCAAGTTTGTCATTCGTTAATATAATGCTGTCTTATAAATTATTCTTTTTTCAATTCTTTTAAACTAGATGGGAAATAAATTTCTTCAATATTTGATCCTGTAAACGCATTGTCATAAATTGTTTCAATTGCTGAATCTTCGACAAATTTGATCGTTTTAATATCTATACAAGCACCACTAATACTTGTGATTAAGTATTCTGTAGATTCATGTCGAACTGTTCGTGGAATGACAACTTCTGTAATTTTATTTTTGACTTTGAATAATGAAGCTGTTTGATTTGTTTGGTCGATTTTGAATGTAAGTGTCTTTGAATCATTTTTGATAGTTTTACTCAGATAAATTTTGATCAACTCTGTATCGAATTTGCTGCAAGCTTTATGCAAATTGCTTTCGATTTCGTCGAATTCTTCTTTACTGCCAAGGTTATTATAATTTGTGAAAAGATCTAGAATTTCTTTCTTCTTTTCACTCATTGCTTCCATATTCATGTCATCTTTATATTCTTCGATAGGAATTTTGAACACTTTCATTTTTAATATCAATTTCGATAAATTATAAAAAAAAATTTAAGGACGTGGTAGGACCAAATATAATTTGAATTTTATGTGTAAATATCTCCTTAAATAATTTGTTATTGTAGTTCTAAAATATATTATTATATTATATATTTGATATTTATTAAAATAAATCAATAATAAATGAGATCTCCTACGTATATTAAAGAAAAGCATCCAAATTAAAAATGACATTAAAATGAATAGAACATCAGAACGACTTTATTAATCAAAAAATAAATGGTTTTTATTAAATATATACATGCTTGCTCACTTTTCCTATTGACCAAAATTACATAATTTAAAAAAAAATTTTAATGATCATCAATATTCTGAAAAAATTTTTTATACTTTTTTCTTAAATAGAGTTTAATTTTGGGATATTTGTAAGTTTACTATAATATTATTTATTGCATACATTAAAATTCATTTTTAATGAGGTGATAAAAAAAGTGGTTTTAACCAAATTCATAACTTTCAAATGAATAGAAGTATGCGAATTCACAAATGTAGCACTTGAACTATTAATATATCAAAATTAAGCATTTGTTAAATATTTCCTATTGAGTATTTTTTTAATTCATTTACTTTTTTATTCAAAAATTTATACTTCAGCAGGTCCGATATCATAAAAATTGAATGACAGCAAATTGTCTTCTGGGATAATTTTTGAAATTATTGGTAAAATAGTATTATATATTTAAATGTTAATGCAATTTAATTGATAAAGTTTTGTGATAATAAATATTAAATGAGATATTTTACATACAAAAATGAGATTATATTTGGTCCTACCACGTCCTTAAATAAAATATTAAATAAAAAAATTGAGATAAATTAATCTTTTTTCACAAATATTTGTGAAGAAAAAACATAGAGTTTTTGACAATCTTTAAAAAAGTAAAAAAACTTCTCGGACGGAGTCGAACCGACATTTCAAGCTTCTACAGCTCGTGTGATATACCGCTACACCACAAGAAGTAATCATTTATAACTTTACATCATAACATATTTATTATAAATTGATGAAAATATTATAATTTTCAAAAAAAATTAAAGCGGGAATAATTCAGAAAGCACAAAGTGAATTTTGATAAACACCAAATGAATAAATTACTATCTTCAAGTGTTTATAAAAAAGATATGTGCAAAAAATGGAACTCCGAGGAGTCGAACCCCGATCTCCGCTTCTTCTCTTCGCGGCGTCATTACCGTTATGCTAAAGTCCCTTCTTATTATATAATGTTTTCTTCCTTTATTTCTTATTTATTTTATTATTATTTATTGAATTTTTCAAATGTTTATCAAAAAAGAAAGAGAACAAAAAATGGAACTTCAGAGATTCGAACCCCGATCTCCGGGCACACCTGCCGGCGCATTGCCAATTATGCTAAAGTCCCTTCTTATTATATAATGTTTTCTTCCTTTATTTCTTATTTTATTTTATTATTATTTATTGATTTTTTTAAATGTTTATCAAAAAAGAAAGAGAACAAAAAATGGAACTCCGAGGAGTCGAACCCCGATCTCCGCTTCTTCTCTTCGCGGCGTCATTACCGTTATGCTAAAGTCCCTTCTTATTATATGATGTTTTCTTCCTTTATTTCTTATTTATTTTATTATTATTTATTGATTTTTTCAAATGTTAATGAAAAAAGAAAGAGAACAAAAAATGGAACTTCAGAGATTCGAACCCCGATCTCCGGGCACACCTGCCGGCGCATTGCCAATTATGCTAAAGTCCCTTCTTATTATATAATGTTTTCTTCCTTTATTTCTTATTTTATTTTATTATCATTTATTGATTTTTTCTGATGTTAATAAAAAAAAAAAAAAAAAAAAAGAGAACAAAAAATGGAACTCCGAGGAGTCGAACCCCGATCTCCGCTTTTTCTCTTCGCGGCGTCATTACCGTTATGCTAAAGTCCCTTCTTATTATATAATGTTTTCTTCCTTTATTTCTTTATTTAGCAATTATCATTTTTTTTATTTTTCACACTCATTAAAAAAATGTATTCAAAATGAGAAACAATTATATGTGTATACAAGTGAATGATTGATTGCAAAAGAAGAAAATACAATGATAATATATTGACTCATGAAACAATTAATATGGTGAAATCAATTCATTCAATAAAATTTTTTTTTTTTTTTTTTTGTTTGTTTAAGCATTCATTTGCTATGAATTTGATTTTAAGGATACCTCCAAAGCCTATTTTTCAATTGTTGGAGGATGTTTCACCGACAAAAAATTTTTGGCCAAGTGTCTTTAGCAGGGACAATGCCAAGAACACTTGGAATTTCCAATATCAAGAACAAAATGATATTGTTGAAGAAAAGATCAAAAAAAACATGGATTTTTTTCCGCATCTGATTTGAAGGTGATAAAGTAACTACTGGTAATATTACATATATTCTAAATGCAATAATGCAATATAATGTTCAACACGATTCTCAAAGCCAGGTATAGAAAGATTTAAACTAAAAATGGAATACACCAATATATTAGGCATTTAATCGTTAATATAATTGGATGTAGTATGCTCATATAAAATTGTAATTTGAGGATTTTTTCTGTTAAAGAAGATGAAAAAACAAAATCATAATACTTGATCTTCTAATGTATTGATACAAAATTAAATTACATATATAACTTTTATATGTAATGCTTATAATAAATGATTATTAAAATAAGTTATATTTAGTAATACTTAGGAGAAAAATAAAAAAAAAATTGCTTTCCTAAAAAAAAAAATTAACTTTCCTAAACAGCTGTATTTGAAATAATTTTTTTCTGTAGGCAGGTGTCACTTTTTCACTTATAAAAACTCATTTTGGGGTTTTGCTCTAGAAATTCCCGATGATTTATACCCGAATCATGTAACGAAGTCCCAGTCATCATAACTGTTTTTGACCCAAATCCACCATGCCGGATTGTTTTTTTTTTCCCCCCAAGATTTGCTCCTGCCACATCTTTTCCTTGAGTTTTTGCCTTGCTCGTGCCAGAAATGAATCCCTTATTTTTCTGATATTTCACATTTAAACTAAATATATAAATAAATGATTTTTTTTAACAAAAAAGTTTCTTTGTTTTTACGAAATATTTCTATTTGAAAATCAAAATATATAAGTTTGGAATAAAAACTTCCAAACAATAAAATGTAAAATGCTTTTATTAACTAAGTGAATTCTGCCACAGCATCTGGAGTTTCATTAGAATCAGTAATCAAACCAGTAAAATTAATTGAAATTCTAAGAATCTTTGCTAATTCTTCTTCAGATTCATGGAATGGAATATCAACTGTAGAAAAGCAAGTATGTGCCTTTGCCAAACTATTATCTCTTTTTGATAAAATGTTGACTTCTAAGTCTTTATTCCATTTTGTTCCAGGTGCAGGCAAACCGATATTTCCAGAAGAGAATTTGATGAAAAGCATTCTTTCATTAACTGAGAAAGAATTCATCACATTCCAAAACATATTTACCATTTTTTGAAAGTATTCATCTTTATTGTCTACATCATCAACTTGAACCTGAATTTTAAACAATTTCTTCATTTGTTCGATGCTACAATTTGATTCACCACAAGCCAATAACTTTAATTCAGAAGGACGAAGAATATTAATTATTTGTTTGAAACTCATAATTTGTTCAAATCCTTTCTTTAAGTTAATTAATTCAGAATCAAATTCATGAATTCGATAATTTTTAGCCAACTCAATGAATTCCTTTAAATTATCTTTTGTTACTCGTTTTGTTGATTCAGAAGGAACGAGTTTAACAATATTATCGAATGAATCATTTATAACAAAATCTCTAAGGAATAAAGATTCAAATTCTTCATCTGTCATATTGGAAGATCTAATCAATAAACCTTCAGCTATTTTAATCAATTCGTGAAAGTTTTTATCAATTTCATAGATACTTTGTATCGTTATTATTCCAGTTGATAAATATTCCCAAATGAATGATGCCAATTTCATTGGTTGTGGAAGACTAGAAACTACACTAATTGCAATTAATGCACCTGCATAAATGAAACGATTACCTCTACTAAAAAGTTCAATGTTTTCGTTGTTTTTGTAGTCAAAAACATCACCTATTAAAAACTTGTTTGGAATCAAATCTTCTTGATTTGTTTCTTTAACATCATGCCTTCGATTTGGATTAAATGTGAAAACACCAAAATGCTCATTCATCATTTCCATTACTAAATCTGAGGCAAGTTCTCGAGCAGGTCCTCCAGCATCGATTGGATTTTCGCCAACAAGTTTAGTACTAAAAGGAACGTCTCCTGGTACTTTCAAAAGTGGCAATTCTGATTGTTTTAATTGGTCCATGAATTGAATAAACAAAGGACGTGATGATTTATCAGAAACAGAATGATTATTCATTTCACTATTATACTTCTCCATAAATTTCTGCTGTTCAAAACGGTTGAAAACCAACTTCTTCATTACCTTGTTATCTTTTTCTGCATTCAAGAGTTTGCTGATGAATTTAAATTTCATTTTAGTGTTCATCGAATATGCAGGGCGAATTACTTGGCTCATGTATAAATTTTGGAGCTTTTCTTTGGATGAAAGTGGAATGCTCCATTCTGAATTTGTCTTTCCCACTTCTCGATGTAAATCAAATGAATTTGTACTTGAATAGTTCTATACTATTTCTTCAACTAAAACATTATAAATCATCAATGCTGAATAATGAAGTGATAAAACATTTGAATTAACTTTTAATGATGATATTGATGGTGGTAACTCGATATTCATTGATTTAGGTATTTTTCTTATTTCATATAAATTAAAATCATCATCATCTCTAATTGTTACATTTTTCTTATCATTCAAATCATTATTGTTATTATCATTATTGTTATTATCATTGTTGTTATTATCATTGTTGTTATTATCATTATTGTTATTATCATTGTTGTTATTATCATTGTTGTTATTATCATTGTTGTTATTATCATTGTTGTTATTATCATTGTTGTTATTATCATTGTTGTTATTATCATTGTTGTTATTATCATTGCTGTTATTATCATTGTTGTTATTATCATTGTTGTTATTATCATTGTTGTTATTATCATTGTTGTTATTATCATTGTTGTCGTCCGAGTCAGTTGATTCTTTCATTTTTAATATTATTTTCGAAAGCTCATTATCATAATCTTTTAATGAAATGAAATGATCAAAATCATCTTGAATTTGATCATAATTATGGATGAAGCATTCTTTTAGATTCTGTTTCGATTCATTAAAATCAATTAGAAATGCACAACCTTTTCCAAGCTTTTTATTTATGTTATTTGACTCAATAATTATTTCAAGAGGAAATGAAACATGAATGTTTTCACCTTTTTGAAGAATTTCTATTTTTTCATTGTTTGAAATTTGATGAACGAATACTTTGTACTTTTCATTACTATTTTCATTGATAGTATTAACATCTCTCTCGATATAAGGATTTCTTCTTCCACAATTAGATTCATTAATTTAAATATTCCAAACAATTTAAATGAGCAATACAAATCAACATCGTTGTTTAAAATCGCTGATTTATAGAGAATTTCATTATTTGGTTCTCCATTTTCATATGATTCAATTTCTTCTTTAGAAATCACAATCCGAAATCCACCAAAATGTTGTCTCATCCAATCATGAACAAACAAGAATTTCGGATAAGGAAAGTTATTTTCATTATCTAATAAAATACTATAATAATACAACAAGTAAAGCGAACCATAATTCCTTATTTTTTCCCAATATTCGATCATATAAATATATTCATTAGTATTCTTAATATCTCCTTCTAAAATTTGGTCATCATTCTTTTTACTTGTTGTTGTTGTACTTCTGAAAATTTCATCATTGATAATTGAATACTTTTCATAAAGTGAAGAATGTTCCTTTAATGTATTTTCAAAATTATGAATTTGAAGCAACTGATAATACAAATTCATGATTAAAGGAAAT